AATAGAGCAGTTGGTGTTATTTCCACATGCGTAATTCCTGCTTCCTTTGTCACATGTCTTGTTTGCATTTGACAAGTCTACCACTACGTATAAAAAATAAAGCATTTGAATCTGAATAGTTAAAGAAAAAGAGAATTATTAGGCAGAATTAATATAGTTGATACCTTGGCATCCATCAGGGAGATAAGGATTCCCTTGGTAACCTTGCAAACAGTGGCAAAGATATCCAGGGCCATTTGTGGAATTAGTGCAATAGGTGTTGTTACCACAGACAATATTATCTTCCATTCCTCCTACGTCCTCGCAAGTCTTATTTCGAATTGCCCAATCCAGTATTATTGGAGTCTGGATCCCAAAATTTTCAAGGTATTTCACATTGTTTCCCATGCTCCAAAGGCGTGAAACTTGTGAGGCCATCAAATCCTTGTCACACATAAAGGCATACCCGCATCTGTTGATATTCCATGTGTAGGAGAAGTTGAAAATGCTTTCTGTGGAAATATTAAGTCCAGTGATGCCCTTGGGTATGGTGGACTGGCAGCATCCAAGACCATTGTCGCATGGTAACAATGTCTCTTTCGTATCGTTCAGACAACCTGAACTGCAACCTATGTAGAATGCCTCGCCATTGTACCCATCCAAAATTCCAGAGGTGTCGCAACCGACAGTTATGAATCTGTTTCTGGTGTCTGACAGCATGTATGGTTCTGGAAGTTCCCAGGAAGAAGTATTCACTACCAGGTCATTGCCCTCACCCGCGTAACATTCGGAAGCCGCCCACATGGTGGTGGCTACTTGTCCTTGCAGCGATATGTCCAAAATCGGTTTATCATCCGAAATGGAGTGCATCATCATCAGCTGGGGAGGGTCACTAGTGGTGTTGCAGAAAAACTGAAAATCTTCATTCAGGAAACACTTGGGCTCATCGCCGATGCCAAACGGGTATGGGATGCTGAGGTTCCCACATTTCTCCTGGCAGCCGGGTTTTGCCAGAGACAATTTTGAAGACGCTGCTGCTTTTGCTTCTTCCGTCGTCATGATCAGCAGCAGTAGTAGGATTGGGTGAAGTAACATGGACCAAAGCATGGCCATAAGATATACGGGTCCTGGTGTGGTGAGAACTGGGAAGAACAGAACGCTGCTATACCGGAAATCATAACGAG